GGCTGTAATTTTGTTTTTCCATCGCTTGGTGCTCCAATGAGTGGATGAACTCATTCTTGATGTGCTTAAATATTTAATTCTTGGTGTTGCTATTCATGCTTCCCCATGCCTTGTTCTTAGGATTTCTTTCTAAATTTTGGAAGCAATTTTTGCTTGTGTAATTTTCAGGAGAAGAAAAATGAAGAGAACCTTTCTTATGTGTATATACACTAAAAACTATTGTGATATTAATGCTTTGATTTTTGTTACGTAACCAGACTTCTTTTGGACACTTCTCTGTTCTACAAGGAGGGGAGTGCAAGATCGAGTTGTTTATCAAGCAAGCTGATGGTAAGAAGATAGTTGATCCCAACAAGCAGAATGCATTATCTTCCCGTCTATGGGTGGAACTGCTTCAGCCACTCAGAGTAGCTTTGGTGAGCCATGGTCCTTATACAGAGCTTCTGGTTGCAAATCCTGTTGAGTTATCTGGCAAGGGCCGGCCTCTTGTTTTTCATGATATTACCCGTGCTCTCAAGATGCAAATGCTTGATACTTGCATCTTCTCGGTATTTTCTCATTTCTATGCTATATAAATCATACTTATGCGTTACATTCATATATTTTACTCCTCTTGAGGGCCTAATTTATACTCAGTTTGAATTGTGCTTTTACTTATTTGTCTTGAACACATTACATGTGCTTCACTGCAAAATTTAAATGAAATTAAAAAAAAAAAAAAGCCTTCTTGGTGGACAATGATTTATCAGAGTTTAGTTTGGTTTTACATTGGACAAATCTAACTATTTCTGATTGTTTTACAGGCTGAGATTGGGAGGCACACGATTGGAGACCGGGAATGGGAAGTACACAGAGTTCTACTGCATGAAGGTGATGGCTTTCCCATTCCACGAGCCAACATTGCAGAAGGAGTTTGGAATATATTGATGAGCCAACATCACTAGTTCTGTCTTTGCCTGATTAGATTTTTTTCCCCTCTAATAGCAACATGCTTGTAATAGAGCTCCATTAAAATTTTTTCAGCTCTTTCTACTTTTGAGTTTGATTCCTTCGGATTTGTCCTCATCAGTATGTCTATTATATACTTATATCCATCACTTCAGCATGTGAAGCTTGTCATTTTGATTTTTGCAAGCCACTATATCCTGAGATGATTCTTTTAGGAGTATCATTAATGGAATGGGATCATTGTGCCCCATCCCAAATATCAAAGATTTGCCTTTGATTTTATTGAAAAAAAAAATTATATAATTTCTTAGCCAGAAATTAATGCAATTAGGTTTGAACTAATTAATCTATGAAACATAAAACCGAAAAAATATTAGACTTGGAGAGGAATTCGTCTCCAAATATTTAAAAACTAGTTTAGGGATTCTAACCATATAAAACTATAAAAAAAAAAGATAAAAAAAAAAAGAAAATAGAATTACGCCGAGGCAGAGAATCGAGAAAACAGATTGGGGTATTATAAGGAAGGCCATGGATTGCAATCTCCTTCCCTGCTCCATCCTTGAGATCAAATAGAAACAATAATCCTTTCTCGTTTGCACCAGCCAAAAACTGCCCATTTTTTGTGAAACAAATGGGACGCATAGGCAGCCATTCCCCAACCTTTGGAATTCTGAAAATTTTAACCCAAGATTTTATTTTGGTCATTGCATTTTCCTCCATCAGCCAAAAATTAGTACGAATTCCACCAGCAGTGCTTGCCAAACATAGAGAACCATGTAAAATTCCTAACAAATTGTCGGAATTAAAAGTGAATATGCTATCGTCGGATAGAGATGTTTCTTCTCTCAGACTATCACCCTTCAAATCAAAACATAAGATCACTACGGTATTCGTTCTCACTGCATGATAATACTTTCTCCTAGCAATCCAATAGAGGCAGCCATTGACAGTTACTGCTTTTTCTCCTTTTTTGCAGGTACTTAATGAGTATGGTACGTTGTTCACACCAACATTTCAGTAACCAATTTTCAACCTCAAACTCCATATCTCTCTCTTCTTTCCTTTCTTTTGTGGGCTGTATATGACCTTGTAATCATCAGTGGTAGAATCATAGCCAAATCCAAAATCTTCGCATCCCGGATTGCCTTTTTCTGGCATTGGAAATCTCTCATGTTCCTTGGTTCTTAGGTTCCAAACCACAGCATAGGGTTCGAATGTGAATATGCACAAGATGTCATCACACTGCAACACATGCTTGATTAAGCCTAATGTCTCCGTGGGATATTCAAGGTCTACTGCTTCGAAACTCCCTTCATCACTGTCCGAAGTAGTGAACCTTAATCGAAACAATTGTGGGAATTCATAAATACCGCAATGAAGAACGAAATCCTTGTCATTGAGGTGGGCTTTGATGAGTTTAGAATTACAAAAAAGAAGAGTCCACCGTTTGGTTAGGCACTTGAATCGCATCATAGACTGAAGTGGAAGCTTTGCAAAAATATCCTGAAGAATCTCGTGAGGTAAGGACTCCATACCCATGGAATTGATCTGTAGCTATAATACAATTACTTTCCTTTTATAGTGACAGAGATAGAATTACTAATTCTATTGGTACTAGTACTTCAACAAAATTTTTGGGTCGGTATAGAATTACTACTTTTATTTGAATTAGCCTTGAATTTCTATAATATGCAGTGTTTTGAAAATTGATTCGGAGGTTAAACCGTTTTGACTTTAATTTTTGATTTGATCAATTTAACTGGTTAAATTATTTTTTTGAACATTTTTGTGATGGGACCGACTCGAACCGTTGCCCTGGGACATGAACCTTGCAAGAGTGGCCAAAACCACTTGACCCATAGGGTCAGGTTCAACTGGTTAAATTGTTTAAACCATTGATTTAATTAAATATAAATAAATTTAATATTATATAGTAGTTAGCCAATGGCTCTACTAGTTTGTCACCTCGCCCATTGTAGAGGAAGCTTGTGTTCGAGTTTGGTGGGTGTTAAAATGTAAGTATCATACTTTTAACCTTCC